CAATCCTTCATTTCATCTAACCCTCTTTCCTTCTCTAAGAAAATTCTTGCATTCCTTTCCTCCCAAAGAGTCCACAGAGTGGCTGCCCTGACACATTTCCACATGACCTTACCTCTTCTAGTCCACAGAGTGGCTCCCAAAGAGTCCACCCTCCCCTCCCCTCTTATAAACCTTTTTGTAATTTTTTGTAGGTCTTGCCCCCACCAACCAAAGTTTCAGGTGAGAAAAGACCTTGGATGTGAACAATGTATGTATTCCTTGCTCCACAAGATTTCTTGAGAGCCACCTCTGTGACCACATCATTCTCTGACACACTCCTACCTAAATCCACACCTAGCGTTCCAATCACCACTTCCTCAAAGGGACTGTCAATGGAATCAAAGCATTCTACCTGGAAAGATTCACCAAGCAACCACATCATTATCCTCATTTCCTCCATCATCCTCTCCTAAAACCCTTCCAGATTCAGCATCACCAATCAAAACTTCCTTTGTCCTCTCCCCCAACCTATCCTTKGCTCCATTAAGAATCTAGCGATTCCTCCTCAGGAGAGAAAACAACCCAAGTCGATACAGCATCAGTCGCCTTCTGACTCACCACTCCAGAAATCGAAACATCAATCTTGTTACAATTGTAGCATACTGGAATATGATAGTCAGGAACAGCTCTTCGAACAACTTCACTTTCAACACTCTCCGCCTTAGACTTCTTGATGCCCTTCTTCTTCTCTCTTTTGTCATATCTAATGATCACCCATTCCCAAATTTCATCCTTCCCCCTTTGTTCCTTACCTGAAAAAGACGATTTTGAGAACCGACATTTTTTCACTTTTGGACGTTTGCAAATAAAAGAATTCCTTTTAATCACCCTTAAGAGATCCAACCGCATGCACTCCTTCCCAATAATGGATTTGGAATCCGTGATGTGGTGGACCGCACTCTACCTTAAAACCATGTTCCTAGCCTGCTTCTCTATGTTCGAATTTGGAGACTCTTCTTCTCTCCTATCAAACCCCAAATTCTACTTCTCTTGGCCTTCCACGTGTCCCTCGTTAACTCCCCCCTTAGCCAAATTACCCTCATCTTCTAGGTCCTACACTTTCCAATTTCAAAGAGCCCCACATCCACCAAATCAGCCTTACAAACATTAATTTTATCTTTAATGCCAAAATTACCCTCATCTTCAACCTCCTTCCCTCCCTCCCCAGCTTGTCTGTTCGTCTTCCCTTCCTCCAACACAGAAGTCAATGAAAACTTGCTACCATCCTCCATCTACCGAGACAGGTTATTTACCTACCTTAGCATATAGGAATCCTCGACCACTAAACTTAGATCAAAATTCTCTCCAGCAAAACACAGGGATATCAACGTGGGCACCAAATGTATCTCTGGAATTTTGGATATCTCCTAGCAAATTCCGGATCAGAGTTAACAAACCTGTCTTTCTCACATCAGAACAGAGTCAACAAATCTACCAGCGATGCTAACAGAGCAGTAAGTTCCTCCTCAAACTCAACCTACTTTCCTATCATTAAGTCAATCAAACTGCACTTTCTTGACATCCTGGTTCTATATGTCTTCTATGTTTCTGGAAACACAACAATGGAGGTGTATAGCCTCTTTCTATTTTTTTTGTTTTGTAAGCCTTCATGAAATGCAAAATACTTCCTCTGTTTTGATATTAAGTTTGTAATTGATGAAGATTATTTGTGATTATTAGTACAAGATAATTGCTGGCTATTAAACCTAGGAAGTTACCCTATTAAGGGTTATTCTTTTTCAAAATCCATCACCCAGGTGCTGGCACCGAGGTGCTTGCTTCCCCGCAACCAGCCAACATAGTTGTCAAGGCAAACCTAGGTGACAAGAGGCTCACCTCACCTAATCACCAATCAGTCTTCTTCTTCCACCTTTTCCTTTCTTCCTTTAACAAAAATAGGGATTCAGCCCCTATATTTTTTGAATTTTCTTTTCTTTCTACACTTTCTTCTCATGGAAATGTTGATTTTCTATACTTTAATATGAAGTTTATACAATTCTTATGAAAATTATGGATAATTATTAAGGAAATAGGGTTATGGAACCTAGGGAATGACCCTAGGATATACGTTTTTTACTTAACAAAATCCATCGCTAGGAGACGCCTAGGCGACTAGGCAACAAGGCGCCCCCTGTTGCCCAGCCTCACCTTGGCGCCTTGAAAACTATGCCAGCCAAAATTCCTCACTGCCACAACCTAACCATGCTTACAAATTCCCCCCTACTCATCCTTTCTCTTCTTTGTATTCTTTGATACTCTTTCAATTCTTATTCACCCTTTCCCCTTTAAGAACTAAAGTCCACCAAATCCCATCTAAGGAGCTGCTGAGATTCTTTGGACAACCCTTCGGGGTTGCTACTAACTGCTTGGTCACCTATTGTATTTAGAGATAAGTAACTATATCTTAATAGATCTACAAGTGAAGAAAATAAAAAGGAAAGCAGAGTAAGAATTTAAAAGATTTTGTACTTTTTCCTTACAATGTTATTTGTCATCTTTTTTCTGGTTTTAATTAACTATTACTCTTGAATACATTACATGCACATGCACTGCTAACTGAAATTTAAATAATAAATTTTAGTAAAAAGTTTGTTTTCTTAATCACTAAATGATTGTTGATGTTTATTTCAAATCGAACCTTACCATAATGGTATATTTGCACTAAATCAGCAAGATTCTTTTTTAATTTTTAGTTAAAAAAGGGATACATATTGAAGCCTATAGTGAATAGCCACCCATATTTTAAGATAGGTTCTATCAGGAAGTAAGTGACCAAGTATTAATGTCTTTAATATTCAGTAAAGTGGCAACACCTTACCATGAGGTCAGCCCACTCAATGACCAGGTTTTCTTACCATAAACTAATGCAATGAACTAACAAACAGTAACAAAGCAGACTCAATGACAAAAGCTCATATAAAAGGCCAAACCTTACAAAATAATTGCAAAAGCAACACCCTCAATTCAAGCAAGCAAGTGATGATAAGAAAATTAAATCAAATTATGCAATCAATTAATAACCCCAAGAATAGTCTGATCCTCCACCTTACTATTGATGTGGTCAACATGGCAATAATTATAACTAATAACTATGGTAGGAAAACAAATATTCTAACAAAGTGACAAAAATTAATTAATATATTAAACTCTTGAGTAAACTACAGAGGCATACCTATTTAAGACAGGAAGAGTTTCCATTTACATAATCGGCACTTCATTTTCTGTCCAACATGCCCATGCAACCATGAGCATCAAGTATAAAAGCACAAATTCCAATTCCAAATCAACAAGAAATTTTCCAAATAACCATACTCACTTTTTTTTAATCTTTGCTCGACCCTTTCTGACAACAATTTCTGGCAGATGTGTAGCCTGAGCATTCAGCTCTAGCTCTGCCAAGGTATTCTTCTCTTTTGACTCTTCTTTATCTCGAACTTCACCATTCTCAATCTTCTGCTTCATAATTTCAGGATTTTTTCCCACAGCAAGCATTTCTCCTTTGGCACTTGGTAATTCATCAGATATTTTACTGGCTTTCTGACTTGCTCGTTGTGAAAGATCATGACAACCTTTCCCAAAATTAACAACCTCAGTTCCTTCACCTTCCACATTAATTTTACCACTTACAGCTTTGTCCTCGGCTTTTTCAGGAAGTACATTAGGATCCATATCCACGAGATCTATCAACTTCTTATTGTCAGTATTCTTTCTACCCAAACCACCCCTTTTTGCTGCCTTTGCTCCCAATTTTTTCTTTGTATTTGCCTGCTTTTTCAATGGTTCAGTATCACCTACTTTAAGCAAATCCTCCCTCACAATGTCCCCACTTACCTCATCTCCATTTGAACCTTTCTCCTCGGGACTAATTCTTGGATTAGATGGTTTTGCTTCATCAGATGTTTCACTGACTATCTCAGATGGTACTTCTGAAGTGGAGACAGCTTCATTGTGATTTTTCTGGGAATCATTTTCTCCAGGATTTTCTGCATTGATTTCACCTCTAACTGATTTCTCATCTTCTTCCTCTGGTATAGTCATATTGGTCTCCAGCTTCCCCACCTCCTTCCCAGTAGCTTTTCTACCCTTTGCTTTTGAACCCTTGCTTTTTGCAGACTTTGATGCCATCTTTTTCTTCATGTTAACAAGCCTTTTCGGTAGTTTAGCCCCATCATTATCTTCGCAACTACTAATACCCACATCTTTCTCTAAATTATTGATTTCACCAGGTATTTCATTCTCCTCAACTTTTTTGGTAAGTGAATCCACCTCCATATCTGTAATCAGATTCTCCACCTTATCAGCCTCAGTACCTTCTCCACTCTGCAGCTCCAAATGCCATTTTTCAGGCTTTGACACTGTTTTTTGCTTCTTCTGTGCATGCTTTACAGGTTTAGCATCATCAACCTTAGGCCCTCTCTTTGTTGTCACCTCAGTGATCCTACCACCATCTAAACCTATTTCTTTCTTCTCAGGATTGAGTTCCATTTTGGAATATATGGGGAAAGCCTCACTTGGTAAAACCTCAAGCTCAAACTTCTCTTTCTTCAAATCCAGTTCTTCCTTGTCGCCATCATCATAGAAAATCTTGTGAAGCTTCTTCTCAGTATCAAATGATTTGATGCGCCCAACAAACCATTTCCTTGAGCCAGACCAGAAGATCTTCACTCTCTTCCCAACAATCCTGTCATAATCATTCTCACTTAACACAACTTTCCGAAAGGATGGAATATCCTTCCTAGGTCTTAACCTAGATGTGCCTTTCTCTGATGACAACAAGAACGTCAATGCTATTTCCGCATCTGCACCTCGTTTGTGTCTCCTTGGTAGGGTCCTGCCTGTCTCCACATTCTCCACCTCAGGCACATCTCCCTCGCCAGAATTCTCACCCTTCCTAACCATAACGTTACCCATTACTTTGCTACTTTTTGACATGGACTTCTTTCCCTTGGTCTCCTTAGCTACATCTCTACCTCTCACTTTGCCCCCATTATCTCCCTTTATGGTATTTTCACCCTTTACATCATCACCTGCAAAACCCAAATCACTCTCTTCCTTGGTATTCGTAGCTGCATTTTTCTCATTGAGCCTATCACCAGGACTCTTCTTTCTATCTACATCTCTTGTGACTTCATTGCCACTTTTCCGTTGCTCAATGAGTATATTTTCATGTTCATTAGCATCTGCAACTTTTGCTGTGTTTTTACCACCAACTTCCGTCTCAACTACTGATCTCCCTTTTTTCTTCCTATATTTCTTAGTTGAAACCTTATCCTCCATATTCAAAATCTAGGCTGATCAAACTTTAAATCTTATCTTTCAGTAATCTTCCACATGGCCCCAACAAAGAAAAGTAGATAAATCCTCAATCCTGCAAAGCCCAAAAAATGCAAAAAGAAAATACCATAAGATTACATCAAGACAACACTTAGAACTCAGAAACTCGGTAAAAAAAAAAAATCAGAGATCTTCCAAACTACAAAAACGTCAAAGCCCTAAACCCTTAATGTTTAGAAAATCCAGAAACTCACTCCTACAGAAAAAACCCGAACCTGCAAAACCCCCTTGTTGGAGCGCTAAATACCTTTCAAAGCTACCCCGAAAAATAGATGATCTTGTTGATTAAGTTCAATATATAATACTAAGATATGCAGTTGAGCCCAAGAAATCCTAAGAAAACAACAACATAAACCCATGATCGAAGATTCTAATTTTCTGAATCCACCACACTCTAAGCTAGAACGCTCCAGAATAAACTGTAACATTCAGGAAAACCTATACTCGAAAGAAACAACTGATTCTTTGATCGTAATCAAGCTTCCCTTTAAAAAGAAAAACAATAAAAATAAACAATAGATCGGCAAGAAACCCTAGCTTTCAGCAATCAATAAGTAAACAAGAAATGAAAAATAGGGTTCTGCTGAGTACCTACGGACAGCTGCAGATTTGCATCACTGCGTAGTTGGGTTCTGATGTGGGAATGTGCTGTAAGGAACCCAAAGCACGCCATGTCAGCTACGGAAAAAGAGCGGGAAGTCGCAGAGGAACAACACGTGGCAAGGCTTGATTTGATCGGCAGTCTGTAGCAGTAACGTTCTGTGTTCCTTTTGGAGGGGATGAAGATGAATTGATAAAGCCCTAAGCTAAGCAAGGAAGTAAGAATTTATAGAGTCCTGGCGGGATTAACCGATTACGGGGCATTCTTTTGGAGAGGATGAAGATGAATTGATTAAGCCCTAAGCTAGCTAAGCGAGGAAGTATGAATTTATAGAGTCCTGGCGGGATTTCAAATAAGGCTCCATTTGGATAGAATAAAAATGCAAATATGTAGACTTCATATTTTGTATTATTTTATATAATTTTCATCATATTTGTATTTTTGGATGGAGATGATGAAGATGAATTGATAAAGCCCTAAGCTAAGCAAGAAGTATGACCTGACCGGATTTCAAATAAGGGACATCCTTGTTATTATGAAATTTCTGTATAAGAATACAAATATAGAATAGGAAAGGCATTAAGGCAATATTAAGGCCCTGTTTTGCATCGCTACCCTGAGTGATTCCATGATTGTATCTCGTGATTTTACGGATGAGAATCACATTTGGTTGAAACCAATTGAAAAAATACCAGTTTTTATAAAGGCTTAGTTTGGAAGAAATATAAATCTATCTATTTATTTATCTATCCATCAATATATATATATATAGAAAGTTTAAGTCACCTTTCATCTATTTGACTATCTCTCCTCTCTTATTCCCACCACTCTCATTAAGTCATGTCATCATTCCAGACCCAATTACCTAAAAATATTCTTAGAATCTCTCTCTTAAAATATCTCATATAAGCCATTAAGAGCATATCATATTACCCTACTCCCCAATCAATTCCTAAAATCTCTCTCTCCAATCTATATCCGCTTTCTCTCATGTAAAATATTCATATTAATTAATGAAATAGTTAAAATATGATTAATATTCAATCTTGTTATTGGATAAAATCGGCACACCCATCACATAATGCCACCTATGCCCCCACGCTTTGTTAGGACCAGATGACATGGCAAGTTGGGATTCACCCGCCCTCGGAGCAAATCCATAGTCTACCCAAGAACTTCAAGCAACATCAAGGACATGTGAAAAGACCAACCTAGACCTCGATTATCACTCCAGAGTGCCCGTGGGCCAAAGCATCATAACGGTTCTCTGACCTCTTCAACCTCAAAATGTCGAGCTACCATGTAAGCTTGTGGATTACGTTTCGGAACAATTAGTGTCCCTGAGATCCTTAGAATCATGTTGCACGACCAATAGTGACAGCAAGAACCACTATGCCTCTTAGGGAAATGGTGAGCACCTCCTTCGGAGGACGCTCCCAAGATCCCTACAATCCTGGCCATCGAGGACCGTTATTCTTGAGAATCTCGGTGGTGCTTGGATCACCCTCCATCTCTATAAAAGGTGAAGACATTCACTCCTAGAAGGTACACTCACACAAGGCTATCTTGCTTACTTGCTATCTGCTTAGAGTTTTCTCATACAACTCGATACTAACTTGATTGTCGGAGTTCCTACGCTTGGGCTCACAACTCGGGCACCCTGACATCCTCTCTCTCATAGGCAACTAGCTAGGTGGAGCTTGCTCACAACTCGCCCTCCTTCTCAAATCTGAGCAGATCAAGCGACATTAATTAGTCTCGTCTGTGGAAGCAACAGAAAAGTCATCCCAACTCTTTCTACTATTCTCAACACCAACTCTCCTTCTCTGATTGAGTGGCATCAAATCCAACTCATATTCAATGAATATTAAATAGTGTTATTACCAAAAGTTAATAAATATGGTTAGTAAATTACCAAAAATTAAATATTCTTATTAATACATTTAGTAAGTTATCAAAAATTAATAAATAATGTTATTGATTAACTCATCATGGCATTTTAAAGTATTTTGAGTACATATTGTTATGTTCATGTTAATTAACAACATTTTATAGAAATTGAAAACTCTTTAACTAATTTCTATCAAATTGAGAATTATATTTAACAATTATCAAAAAGTATAAAATTTTAGTTATTGTTATTATCAAGTTAATAAGCAAATCCAAATGAGGGAATAAAATATTATAATGTTTGAAAATGAAATTACTAATTAATTTATATTGGAAAATGAAAGATAAATTAGTGTAATTAAAATTATTACATTTGGTAGATTTTGGAAAACAATTGAAAAATTATGTAATTTTCATTGTAAATTATTGAAAATTATTATTTTCATTGCAAATTATTGAAAATTATTATTTTCATTGTAATTCATTGAAAATTATTAAAAATAAATGAGTATGGGAAAGGGAAAATTGTAATTTGAACCAATAATTACACGAATTATTAAGATAAACTAATATAATATTAGAAAAGGAAATTATTGAATAGTTTATATTAGAAAATATAAGATAAATTAGTGTAATTCTATAAGTAAACCATTTAAAAAGAAAGTAAATTATTTAATAACAATTTGAAAATAAGTATGAAAAAATTTTCCAAATTACACAAATGTAATAAATTTTCATAAAATTACATTTTTGAAAATTAAAGACAATTTAGTGTATTTTTTAAAATTTACCATGTGGTTGATACTCAATATATCCTTTTAATCATTTTTGTCATCAAACTAAGTATTGGGTTGATGGGGAGTGGGTGCATCACATTGAACCCGCTTGACAATAGAGATGGGGTGAGGAAAATTTGAGAATTCTCATCCTTATTAAGGAGTGGGTGCCTTGCCTTGAACTCGCTTGACATTGAGGACTAAACGGGGAAATTCAAGGATTCATGATTCCTAATGGGGAGTGCATGCTTTGCCCTAACCCTCTTGACACTGGGGATGGGGTAGAGTGTCTTGACTACAGGGCGAGGAAAATTTGAGGATTCCCCATCCTTGATGAGGAGTCAATTCCTTGCCCTAAATTCACCCAACATTGAGGACAAGGTAGGGAAACTCTAAGAGTCCCTATTTCTAATAGGGAGTGGGAGCCTTGCCCTGGACCCGCTTGACACTAGGGACAGGGCAGGGATGGGTAGAGTGTTTTGACTACGAAGTGGAGATAGGGATGGAGTGCCCCGCACCAAACCCGCCCTGTTGCTATTCCTATATAATGGTTGATTATCAATGAAATTAATAAAAATGTTAGCTTTTGTAATTATTTTTATTTATTTAAAGTCAATCAAGATTTCATTTAAAAATAATAACAATTATTAAAATTACTACAAATGATTAATAAAATTAATAAAAATATTTGTTCATATTAAATTAGCAATAATTATTTTTTGTAAATCAACACTCAATGAAAAATACAATTATTAAAATTTTAAATATCAACAATAACTTTGAATATTTTTAGTTAATTAATAGCAAATTTTGATTATTAATTTATCAATTTATTAATATTCAATAAAATTATTCAATCTTTCACTGCACAGGTCCCCCACTAGTATAAATATATGTAGAGTGCAAAACCTTATAAAACTATTCAATCTTTCAGATTTGCACTCCTTCCACTAAGTTTGGAAGGATACAAATGCAAATATGTACATTGCAAATATATATAAAATAATATAAAATACAAGGTTTTGCACTCTACATATTTGTATTTGTACTCCTGCCAAATTGAGCCAAGAGTAGAAAGTTATGTTAAGTACAAAATAAGGAAGTTGATCATAAGGTAATAGTTAGCAAGGACATGAAGAATTTTAGCATTGTTTGATTAAAGTAAATCATCAAATCAACCCAAACGTTTAGGCCAAGTTTGGTTTGAAGGAAAAGGTATACAAAGGAAAGGAAAGGATGAAAAATATGTATAAACCTTGTATAGGTTTCCTTGTTTTTTCCTTCATTTCCTTACCTTTTCCTTCAAAACAAACACGGCTAAAGTTTCAACACTATGCTACTATTATGCCCCGTTTTAAGGGTGTTGTATCCTTACTATCAAGTGGTCGGCTTAAGGTATTTTAAGAAAAAGTGTTGGACTATGATACCAAAGACATGATATAGGAAAACATTATTACCAAAGATTTTCTCTTAAGAAAATACCATTTTTAATAGTTAATTAGTAGATGAGCATGTGCTTTGCACGTGTATTTAACATCAAAAATAAATTGACATTGTACGCATTTTGGGTTTGACCAGTTTGTCATGTAAAAAATTTCAACAAATAAATATATGTGGTTTACTTATTGTTCTATGGAGATACACAACCTAGGGGTAGGGGTGACAATTTTTCTCCATCCCTACCAAGTACTTGGCCTCCGTGATCAGGTGGGAGTGGATGGAGATTGCCTTATCGAGGGAAAAGTGGGGATGGAATTAATAGGAATACCTGATTGGGAACGGGGAGTGAAGTCCACACTCCCCCATATTATATATATATAAATAATATGTGTGTGTATTATATTAAATATATAATATTATTTATATTATATATATGTATACCAAAATATATTTAAAATATCATTTGCATTTTAGTTATTCCTTCATTTTAAATAAATACTTTTCTAAAAACAAACTTTTAATTAAAAAAAATCAGGGATGTAGCCTAAAATCTTTTATAGGATTATTTCCCTAAACCCATAACACCCCCAAACCCATAAATATAGTTCCATTAATTATAGTAATTATAAATGTAGTATCCAATACTTATGGAAATTATTAAAATCTTCTAATTATTTATTATAAAATTAGAACTTTTATAATTTAAGTTTCACTAAATTAACAAAATTACTAATTATTTCTAAAAAATTATAGTAAATATCAAAATTACTAAAAATATAAAAATAAATTTATATTTATTGAAATTAATTTTCCAATAAAAATTTATAATTATTGTTTGATAATATCATTAAATATTAATAGATTGACCAAAATTACTGAAAATATCAATAACTACTTATTGATACAAATTAGTGACAAATTTTAATTATTAAATTTGTATTTACTAATATTCTAATTAATTATTAATTTTTTAGTAATTATTGATCTTAATAATTAAGTTTCAAAATTCTAAATTAAATTACCAAAATCAGTAATTTTTAGTAATTAAAATTTCAGTAAGTTGATATTTACTAAATAATATTCAATGATATAATTAATTATTGAAAATATAAAAAATATTTCACAAATTAATTTAACTACCCAAATTGATTTAATTAATTAATTTACCCACACTTTTGGTTTTTAGATGGTTTATAATATAGATTAAGAGGTGTTTTAGGAGGAATTTTAGATGGGAGAGATTGGTTAGGAGAAATTTTAGGAGGGG